GCTGCCGGCGACGGGAGCTTAGTGACTGTGCCCCCCTGACCATGAACAGCGTGATTGGGCTGAACACAGACGGCCGTGGCAGCTACGTCTGCAGCAGCTGGCTTTGCCTCCTTCTTCATCGCGAGCTCTTTGCGATACTCCTCAGCAACACGAGCGCGTTCTTTGGGAGAGGCAAGTTTCCACATATCTGATGGAATACCAGGTGGACGACTTGACTTTCGGGCTCTCACCAAACGAAAACCATCCCATTGAAACCCAGGTGGAACTGCCGACCCATCCGGCATGTGATCAGGATCATGATCAGCGAGTCCCTCGGCAGGTGCAGGAGGATCTTCCATCAAAACATCCTCCGGCACAGCTGCTTCGCCAGGCTGCAAATGTGACTCCGGCTCATATTCCAATTCGTCCGGAGAACACGGTTTATCGTCGGCAATAGCTTGCTTTGCGGGAAAAACAAACGTCTCATCAAGCAGGCTGAACTCATACTGCTTGACGCGGAGGGGATTAATGTCACCCGTCCGCAACTTGTCCGGCAAATTCTTGAGCGGCAATACCAAAATTTCATGCGTGTAGGTAAAGCCAGGTTGCACATGATAGCCAACAAAAATGCCGACATCCGAAGTTGGCAGAAACTTTGACTGCTTCGAATCGACGCGCTGACGATTGATCCAATACGACAATTTTGCACCAAATGGAACCTTTGTGTCAGGAAACTCATCACCAAAACGCAAAGCCCACGGCGACTTGTCCTTGTCATTTGGAATTGTAACATTGAGAGCAAATGCATGATGTTGAGCTGCCAAAGGCCAAAGCTCAACCGGCAAACCGCTTTGAAACAGATTTGCCCTTGCTCCCTCCAGAATTGTACGGATCTCGCGCTCGATCACCCCGGAAGATTGACTGACATATGGCTGGCTCAGCACGTGTCTCCAACCCATACTCTTTACTGCAGCTGCAATTTTGCCAGAATTGTCGGAATAGAAAATTCCAACATGATCATCTGGCTTCGTGAAATGTTGAAATGCACGAACGCAACTGTCAGCATCTTGCCTTGCTGAAGGGTAAAAATACCGGAACTGCGTGAACACATCTTTCACAACCAAAGCATTCCACTCGCCCTTGAACCCGTACGTCTCATCATTTGAAATGACGTGGTCAGCAGTCACATGATCTCCAAATGCTTTTGCATCCGCTGAAGAAGGCCCATGTCTGCGACGAGCTTGAGGTGCTTGCATCTTTGATCGCACACATGTTTCGCAAAAGGGGTTCTTGGGCCTGTGAGTGAAAAGATGCTCTTCGCTTTTGGCCTCACGCATCATAATTTCTTTTGAACGCTTTGACATCGGTTTTGGAGCTTCCGCAACCTCAGGGTTGTCCTCCAGTTCCGGATCAAACTCCGGTTCCGGCGGTTCAGCTTCATCAGGGCGCAATGGAAACGATGCGGCATCCGGCGGAGGTCGCCCCCCGCTTGAAGATGAAGGCACTTCAACGCCCCCGATCTTCTGATCGGATGCAGCAAGCGCAACAGGCATAGCGGATTCAGAAGCTATGACCTCGCACTGATCGTCAACATACGGAACTCGCCCATCGAGCTTCAATATTACCGCCTTGCCATCAGGTCGCACAAAGTACGGAGCACTGTTCTTTCTCCATACGAAGTCGTACCCCTTTTCCAAACATCTTTGACCAACAGAAAGAACAGCTGGCGTGCTCGGCAAAACATACGGAGTGACGACCTCGTTCAACTGATCAATGGAGAAGTCCGCAATCTTGTCTGCGCAAATTGATCCATTTGCTGTTGAAAGATTGATTGGAGTCAATGCAGGATTTATCTTCTTTTGAAGTGTAACTGCACGCTCAGCGTCAACCAGATCTTGTTCACTACCTGTGTCGACAATCCACTGACGAAGCCCTGCTGGTGCTGGCGTAGCAATATACTCCGGCACATCGTCAAGGTTCGTTTCATCATCATCAATCCAACAGCCAGGACAATACAAACCGCAATAAATTGGGTCATTGTCATCATAGTATTCGCAATAGAACCCACAAGGCGCGTTGTAGTTTGCATGCATCAACTCAACAACCCCCTCCAGAATCAAAGCTTTGTCTTTAGCATCGATCAGATCCTTGGGATTTGAGCCAGGCGCACAACCATCATACCACACAACCTCAGGGTCATTCGGCTTTGGAGCACATGATAGGCATAGCCCATTGGCCTCGATCTCGACGATCTCGACATTGTCTGCGAATTTGACGCATCTGCGGGTATTGGAAACATCTGTACTGCAAATGAAAATCGTTTGCCCAGTCCAGTATTGCTCCAAACCTTCATCAGGATCCGCCCAGAAATCACCAAACACTTGCTCTTTGCCATTGATGTTGGCTTTGGTGATGCGCTGATCCAATAAACATTCCAGCGAAATTGGAAGGTCTTTTGCACTCTTCGGATCATAAAGCGCTTTTCGGGGCATCACATGGTGTCGAATGACCATCTCGTTCACCGAGTCAACTTCCCAGAAATCTTGCTTTGGGCGGCATGCTGCGAGGCATGCATTGGTCTCTTTCACCCTCAGACACACAGCGGCTGAGGACTCGCCCTTTTTGCTCTGGGATCGCTTTCTCCCTTTTCCCTTTGGGGTGGGAGACCTACCTCTGCTGGCTCCTTTCTTTGGGCTCGGCTTATCTGTTGCTGGTGCAGCAGACCGAGTCTCATGCGAAAACGCACAGTTGTCTCCGCGAGTGCATTTCCCCTGACCGCCTTTGAAAAACCTGCACGGGATCTTTTTCAGCTCCGCTCTCTTTCTCGATGCCGACCGATCCCTGTCTCTCCCCTGGCTGTCAGAGCGCCCCCGACCTTTTCCTTTCGGATTTTGGCTCGGGGGTCTTGGGTCTTTCTCATGCTTGTAAATGCAATTATCCCGAGTGCACTTGCCATTCTGAAAATCGTAGCAATACTTGACCGCTCAAGGATCTCTTGCACGCCCGAGCAACACGATCACGATTTGATTGCAATCGCTCCCGAGTCAAAACATCACGAACGGCTTGAACAAGAAACTCGTAGCTCTTGTCATACGACCCATCTTTTGCACGCTCGTATGTGTCGAGGTCATACTTGATCTTGTGACATCCACGAATCTGTCGCAAGAAGATGTCCTTTAAGACGCGCTGCTCCGGAACGATCTTCATGCCAGCAATGACGGAACCCCAATTCTGAATAAAGGTCATCAAATCATTGCCATGAAGTACCACCTTCAACAAATCTTCAGTGGAATACAACGCTCCGGCCTCCTCATTCGTTCTGAAATACTGCTCAAACATGAGAAGAACTTGACGCCCACGGACAACTTTGTCCAAAGCGGCTTGTTGCTCCTTGTACGTAAGGATCTGCCGACTAAGGTCGCCCCTAGCAATCCGCGACAAGGCTGCAAGAAGCTTTGTGTCCAACGTTTCAAACTGCTCTGGATCTCCAAGCTCTAACATGAGATTCTTCTTGTCCTCCCTGTTGACGTACACCTTGTTAACCCAGGTGAATGCAGCGTCAGGCCGATCGGAAGCAGCCCGAATCTCTTCGCGAGTAGCCGTTTTCCAGGCTCTGTAGGTCTCAGGAGTTGGAAACTCACTCAGCCTCAACGAATCAGCTTCCTTTGCTTTTGGCCGATCATGCTGATTCCGGACAAAGCCGAGGAGGGCCGCACGGAACTCCGCCTCGGTGGTCTCGGGACCAGTCAACCGATCAATGTTCGGCTGATTTGTCGGCTGATTTTGCTGACTTCGGCTGTTTTCTTGCTCCGAAGACCGTCTCGCATGATCTTTGATATCAAACTGCATTGCACCAGAAATAGGATCAGTCCAACTCTGCTGTGGAATAATCTGAGGCATAGGTCCAGAAGTTTGTGCATTCTGCGTTGGAAAAAGACGCGGATCATTAAAGATACTGCCCCTCTTATCCAAAAACGACTCTGAACTGACGTTCTGAAAACTTGACGCAGGTTGAGGATCTCTGCGCACCATCTCACGCTGCGCCTTTTCGAGATCGTTCCTCAGACGCTCAACGGTGTCGTTCAGCCCGTTGATCGTGTCCTGCATGGCGTGATTCTCCGCCAAAATACTCTCTCTCTGCTCACCGACCGCCTTCTCCGAGTTCTCCATCACAACATTCTCAGCATGTAAGCTTTGTGCGAAAGCGCTATACTGTGCCGTTCTTTGCGACGCAGCTTCGTTCACTTCGGCAGAAATTGCTCCCCGCATCTGACTAACCTGGGCGCTGAAGAAAGCGCGGGACTCTGCGAACTGCTCGTGCAGCTCAAGGGTCCGGTGGTTGTTCTCCTCGTCCAGGCGATGCACAGTTTCCGCCAAATGAGCACTATATTCCGCCCTTGCAGCATCCATAGCAACGCGATGTAACGTGTTGGCCTCTTCCCTAACAGCGTCACCCGTGTCGTTATGCGCATGCATGATGTTCTGGGTGGCTTGATAGTTTGTCGCGAATCCGAATACGTTTCGAGGATCGCGAGGGTCGACAGGACCATTTGATGCAACTGCACCTTCACTACCGTCACCAACATCTCCAGATATATTGTAAATGGCAGGCATATCTCCGGATGCCATGGCGATCTTTGTACAAGCCTTTACGGCTGATAACCTGTGTTATCAAGCCTAGGCCACCTAAGGGAATACCTAGGCAAGCAGCAAACCGTTGACTACCTTTTCACACTGCTGTCAGTGATCTTGAAGTCTGTAGCGGCGGAGCATGTACAAGTACACTCATGCACAGGGTTGGAACCTGAATCCACATTTGGTGGACATCATGTACAAGGGAATTTATGTCCATCAACCTTTTTGGAGGCTGTCCCCTGGCAAGATTCATGTCAAAATAGGGCTCGACATTTTGGTTGGTGTCTGAAGGAAAAACAAAAGGAAACCCACCACTGGTTGGGGCTCCCATTCTTTGGGGGAAGAGTAGAGCGCTGCAATTTTGGGCCACTCATAGGGGCCCGGGCAGCGGGCGTCGCAGAAGCTTGGGTAGGGCCTCGATGGGAACCCGACTTTGGGCTGTTAATTCAAGCGAGAGGCTTGCCAATAGATAATTAGTTAGTTGGTTGGTTGGTGGGTGGTGGGTTGGTAAGTTGGCTGGTGGGCGGGTGGTTGGGTTGGTTTCGGTGAACTGCAAACTAATCCAAGGGGCCATGCTAATCAGGGGTGGTTTGCCTGCCAGTGCAACTTGTTGCAAGTTGGGAAGGATTGCTTTGGGTGAACACCCCCTTCGCCCTCGAATTCAACTGCGCAGCTCACTTCAACTTGGATCGGTGACCCAAGGAGAACGCCAAGCGCCGACTGATGTCTCTCTTTTTCAATCCTGGCCCTCCGTTTCAACAAATTGCAATGGAGATGCTGCGGGATGATGTCACATCTAGTGCGCGCATTTGTGTTGCAGATTGAGGCCCGCTTCCCTGGCAACCGCGCCTTGGGTGATGTCTTTTCTTACAAAAGGTGGCAATGGCAACCCTGGAAGGATTTCAACGTGTGACTCCCGGAGATGGTGGTGCCCCCTCTGCCGGGTGAACTCACTGGCGGCTTTTGTAGCTCAATGGGCTGCCCGTGATGAGGCACTTTCAAAGGCTTTGCTCCCCTCCATTCCCAGGAGTGACGGATGGCCCGGGCGAAACCCCAAAAAAAACTGTGCAGCGACCGCAGCCCCTTTTCCGCGCCATTTCCCAGCTGCTGGTTGACAGCTACAAAGCGGCGCAGGGGGGAACTTGCACCGAGCCTTCGAAGCTTTCTGAGGAAAGTATGCCCGATAGGCTTGCACCAAGTTCCATTTCTTATATTTACAGTGCTTCTGACGCTGCACACGCCCCTTCAATACGGGTCCTGCGTTGTATTCTCTGCGTGCTCATCTGTGGAGCATTTTGCGTGCATGCTCTGCTCATGCATTGTGCTTTGTTCACCTGAGTCTGGGTGAGTTGCTTGTCTGACTGTTGCAATTAACTCGCTCTACAAACAATGTATTGCCTTTCTTCACAACAGTGCTTTTGATGGAAGAAGAGGTGCCAAGATGCCACATGGTCACATGACTTGATGCCACGACTTCATAGCGAGTACAGTCGTCTGAATTCCTCAATTGTCTTGCCTTCTACGTCTCGGGCTCGCTTTGTACTAACATCTTTTGACAGGCAAATGAAGAACCAAATGTTCTGGCATCGAACCCTTAGATTCCATTAAGAGAAAAGCCAAAACGGTTGTGGGCAGCGGTGCCCAAGTTCCCAGTGCCTGGTGCCAAGCCTTTCACCCGACACCCAAAAAAAGAGACAACCCCCAAGGTACACATAACACATCGCGCTCGCATCACCAAGTCACAATACTGCGCCTCGCTTCTAGGTTGGAGGCTTGGAGGGTAAGCCGCGTTTTCCTGCTTAATCTGATGAACAAGGGACCCAAATGAACGCCACCAGCTGGTAGCTGGTGACCTGAATCTGTGCATGAGTCCATGAAGAAGGCTCTCATATTCGGTCGATTGCGGGTCCAAAAGCCAAGCTGGCACCAGGGAGTTTCGAAAAACCCGACATGAGAAGCAGTCCTGAAAAACTGTCAAGTCGTCATTCAACATTCTCGCGCAACACGCACACACATACACCCTCTAGACGCTCCTAACCCTTTTGCATGTGATTGTAGGGCTCTCCGGGTCAGTGAGCCAACACCAAAACACGTCTTGGGCATGAACGAACTCCGACCCGCTAAATAAGAGCTAACCAAAACAAACTGCACCGTCGCCATCTCAACGAGAAAACTCGAGCGGAGCGGCCAAGCAATTGTCTCCAATTTCGGGTGTCCAGGTGAAGTCTGAAATGCATCAAGTGCATCTGCGAGGTCTATGCCAATACTTCAGAGTCAGGTGCCTCTGAATGGTGTGTTTCATTCGGAACACAACCCATAGACGGTGACCTGAAAAGGCCTGCCACGGCCAGTCACAAATCTGGTCACTTCTGCTTGAATCACTGAATTGTTGCTTGCCAGACATTGGGAACATCGACTCTTCGTTTGACATGGACCTCTCCTGTAAAGGTTCGTTCCGAAACAGCCGGAGGCTCAGAGGCATGCAAGCTCACATTGGATCCTGCGATGCACCGTGCCCGTTGTGGTCATGCCGTGTGCGAGTTGCCTCGTCTACCAGGTGGGCCATATGGTTTGGATCCTTGCACCACCCACTTGCAAAACACAAGCAACATGCAAACGGAGTGCAAAGGCAGCCAAGATGAGGCCAAGTGCAAAACGGTTGAACAAACAACAATCTGGGTAACTTGGCAGGGGCAAAAGGATATACAGCCGTCCAGCCGGCCTCAAATACCCGTGTTGCAGACCTCCGTCTTGAACACCGACTGCGCGCAGCCGGTGGTGCAGCACAGGGCCCCTGCCGTTTCCTTTCCGCAGCAGCTGGTACCCGGTGTGCACATCCTCGGAGCGGCTGCCGGGGAACTGAGGAGAGTCGCCACCGCTGCAAGCCAGCCAAAGAATCATGGAAGATTTGTGGCCCTTCAAATATCCAGTTCTGAGACTCTGATCCCGCGTGAGCTATATATGGGTGTGTCTTCTTTTCTGGGACTCCCCCCCAAAATAATAATAATATGATGGTGTCTCTTTGTTCTTTTTTGTTTGTTTGTTTTTGTTTTGCAAAACAACCCGAACCATGGAACCCGGAAAAAAAAAAACACACACACACACCCATAGAGAAATATTTATGCATGATCCATGCTTGCATGCCGGCTGGGTATGTCTCGCGAAGCTCCGTCAAAATGCCGGGGGAACGGGGGGGAAACCAAGAGTCAACCGCCTGAACTTCATCTTTTGCCCGGAACTGCTTTCTTGTTTTGGCCCGCAGCTTCTGGCTGCTTCGATTGAAACATGTGCTCTTTATCAGAAGGCTTCAATCTAAATCCTTGGTCCATGGGCAAATGCATTTTTGCACAAGCAACAAGTTGGAATTGCCACCACAGCCCGGCAATGGCTTGTGGATTGGTATCCACAAGTTGTTGAAATTGTTCGCGGGGCACTCGCTGGAACAATATGGAGGAATAAGGGGAAAGTGACCAAACGTATATTCGGCAACAAAATGCTGGCCAAGAGAAGGGTGATGATGGCCTGAAACGCAAAAAAACGGCCTCAAGGTGAGCAGCCCAGCAATTGAACAGTGGCACCTTGCGTGCTGCAACCCGTGCCCTCTTCCTGCAGCCTCGATACGCTTCATGCTTGGATACCCCTTGACAACACAACGTGGCACACCAAGATACGCCCAGAGTTCAAAAGACGCGTGTAGTTGACCGTGACATTTAGGGTCCTTTGTTTACCCACGAAAACGGAGCAAAAGGCAAACCCCCCATGCCTTCTTTTGCGGAGCCGGGAAGCAAAGGGAACTGAGTGGAGTTGCGGCAGCACGTGGAGCCTTTGGACAGGCAGGTGTTGCCGCAGCAGGTAGAATCCCCAGTGCAGCATTCCTGCCGCTTTTTGGTCGCCGCGTGTCCAAACCCTCACGTCCCCAGTTGCGCTGGTTTTCCCGCCGTCCGGAAAGGGTCCCTTGGAGGCCGCTACCAAGCGACGCCGGCAAAATGGAACCCAAATCCAAAGAAGCTTGGGATTGTTGCGTCGGTCATTGGTTTGCGAGAGGTCGGTTGGGAAATTGGGGTGCCGAAAGTCTGTATCTCTGATCGTCCTGCATGGTTTCTCTTTGCGTCGATTTTAACCAGCCAACGTGTGAAACTACAATTTCAAGCAACCCGTTTGCAGTGAGCTTTGTGGCAGGACTGTGGACGAAGGTCATGGCGAGCATCTTTTTGTCTTCCGACACAGGTATTGGACTCACCTGGCTGTGGGCCAAAATTAAACCACCAGAAACTGCGGGTTTTAGTCCTTGGCTCCATTTACGAGGGTTGCATTTTGAGTACCTATTTTTGACCCACAGCCACCTTGCAGCGCTCGCAACTTATGTGTTGCGCGCTCATTATTGTGGAGCCGCGTTTGAAAAATGTAACAACGTGCTTGGGCCCCAGCAAGGTTCAAAATTTTGATGTGTGTCAACATAGGGGGACCCCCAGAATGGGTGGTGTGCTTTCGGCCTTGAATTGAGCCACACCATAAACAGTGAAATTATCTTTAGAAGGAACTTCTGTGGTACAGGAACTTGTTGTGCTAGCCCTTTGTACGCACCATGGCGTGATCTTTAAACACAAGACGTGGCCCTGCGCGCGAGTTCGGCTCTTCCGGAGAATTGACCATTGGCACCGCTGCGCGCACTGCGCAACCGTCAAAAGGTGAACCCTCTGCGGACTTTCGGCGGGCTGACCTTCAAACTCGTGGATTCTTCGCTCGCAGACCCCCAGAATGAGAAAGGGGAGGGAGAGAGAGAGAGAGAGAGAGAGAGAGAGAGAGAGAGAAAGAAAGAAGGAGCAAGAGAAAGAACAGGAATAAGAAGAGAAAGAGCGAGAGCAAGAAGACGATCAGAGACAAAGAAAAAGAACGAGACAACAGAAAAGGGGACAATGGCCACACTCCAAACTACATTTCTTTTATTCTTGAAACTTCCGATCACCAGCTCAGCTAAACGACTATTACTGGTACCAACAGAAAACACACCTCCGACACATCAGCTCCAGCCCCAAAAGCCCGGTGCGGCACGCCTTGCCGCCGCAGCACACGGAGCCCGCGGCGCATGTCATGGCGCACTCGCTGAGGCCCACGGCTGAGTTCACCGAGGCGCTGTATGCGCCGCTTCCGTGCCAGGCCACCAGGACCAGAAGAGCTGCCGCCTCACGCTCAAAGTTGCCGTCGAGGCTCTTGTGATATTGTGATAGATCACGCATGTCTTTCTTGGACTGAATGCCATGAGGCACACATGCAGCACAGATTATTACCTGCCTACTCAGCCAAACGGGAGAAGTACAGAACCCTGCAACAGTAAACAAAGGCTGGCGTAGTTTGGGCGGCGATGTGCGCGAGAATTAATGAGCAAGGGTTACCGTACTAAAGTCGAACATCACATAAAAGATCTTAACTAAACATGCTCAAAGGACCCGAAAGTGACATCCCCCCTCTTGGGGCCGTGGCAAGTGAGCCAACACTGGGTAAAAGGTCCATTCGCTTTTGGACATGTCAAACGGTCAGTGAGAATGAGTCAGAGTTCTTTGTGCGGGCTTTCAATCCCCGTGCCAGGGCGCAACCCCACTTCGGAACGGAGCACAGCTACATCTGGTGTATAGGTTTATCCCCCCAGGTGTGCGTTACATAAAGCATGTTGCCACAGCACACGCTCTGTTCGAACACGATAACACGATGGGCTTCATCAAATGCCAGACGTGTCCATCGATGGGCTAAAGCCTGCTACGGTAAATTATGCCAATCCTGTGCAAGATTCAACGGGTAAATTATGCCAATCCTGTAGGCACGCCCCACCCCCCCGCCACCCGCTCTGGCATGTTGCTATGGGAGGCGAACGGCCACAAAACACTGCCAAGCGTCATCATTGCTGTTTTGATCTGCTTCCTTTGCAGTGACTTGATGAACGTCTGGCGTTGCGTAATCAACAGATCTGGGCGCGCATTCACTCATTCACGGTGTGCAACAAGCATGCGAATCAAAAACGTAGCCCTGAGCACCGGAACGAAAGGAGATTAAGATTGACAGGTCGATCTGCCGCATGCTTCTTGATGTGTTTGCCAATATCGCCTGCCATCCTTTATGAGTCACCAGTCAATGCCACGATTCGTCAACATCACTTGCGTCCTTTCATGTTTTGCCTTCCCCGTTTTCCTGCTGGACCTTCAGGCGCAAATCCCATGCCAGGGAATGAAGTGAAAGCCTTTCACGCATGCCCCAGCGGGCAGGGTTCTGAACTGCAAAGACTTGAACGTCCACTCCCCCCCCCCCCCCCCAAAAAAAAAGGCTTACTCTCTGAAAGCGGGGATTTTTCCAGTGTTCCTCACTCGCACGAGGCACGAGGGCGAAGAGCGGCCACCACCATTTGCTGCGCTTGGGAACCGGCACGTCCACTTCCTCCGGATCCTCCTGACAAATTGTGGACAGGGACGCCCCACTAACCCAAAGGAGAACAGCAAACAAACAAACGTGGTGCGTCATCTTGTCTTGTTTCTTGTCTCCATCTTTTTGGGGCTTTCTGCCCACGCCCCCCCCAAATGCGTAGTTTCAGGGCGTCCTCTTTCGTTAAAATCAGAGAACCACATCGCCATCCCCACAGACGGCTTCCGTTTGGAGGTGCCCTCCCGTGCCGCGAGCCGGCCGCTGCCTGCGCCAGCTTCAGCAGCTCTTGTGGCGCGTCCATGGTGCAAGAGGTGAGCGGACGTAAGACCGGAGCCAAACTGGTCAGCCAAGCTTCCTTCTGGAGCGCCCCTCGGTTTCAAGCCTTCAACTGCTCCAAAGAGATGCGAAATGAAGTGCCGGCCTCTTGCTCGACCGGATTCCAGCAACAATTCTCCAGTTGCACACAACAGGACGCGGACCGAAGGAGTGATTGGAACAAATGTCTGCAATATCTCTTTCTTAGATATACATGTGCAAATGTGCATGTTTAATAATAATAATAATGATGAGATACTTCAAGCACTCTTCAAAGGCCTTACCTGCCCAGCTCCCCAGTCCTGAAAATTGTTGAATGTGCTCACATTCCAGTGCCCCGCTCCCCCCCCCCCAAACCCAAAAAAAACCAAAAAAGAAAAGAAAAGAAAAGAACAAAAGAGAACACAACCTGGGTGCAAAGGAAGACCTCCCTGGAGAACCAGCAGCTGAGCTTTGTGGCTTGTAGCTCTTCAAGCGTCATATCCTGGCACGGAGGTCGCGTGGGTGGGTTATGACCGCTACGCCATAGGTGAAGCATGCCACAATATGAACATGCAGGGAGTGTGTTTCTGTTTCCTGGCTGGCTCGTCAAGCTCTATGTTGTTTGTTTGCTCGCGATTTTTAAGGCTCTTTTGAAGGACTGTGCAGCTAATGGCACCTCAACAGGACTTTGCTGATGCCTGGGATCCGTCCGGCCTCTGATATCTCACTGGTGCTTTGCTCCAAAATTGGCGGCTTCAACGGGACTGCGGTGGAAGATGCGCCACGGCCAATGTGGAGTGAAAAAATCAAACACGCAAAAACTATCCTGACCCGCTGAGGCAACTGCGGAAACCATGCACAATATTTTCGGCAGTTCATCAAGATGCAGACGCCTATGCCAACATACATCAAGTTGGCATCTCCGTTGGGACCACGCCAGCACGAGGGCCTACTTGCTCACAACCTTCGCTTTTGCATTCTATCGGTCAGCAAAAAGACGAAAGGCAAGAGCGGAGCCCCAAATCCCAATCAGACTGGGATGTCCTCAGACCCCCTGCTAAACGTTTAACTTTTAGTGGGTTGAAAGGAAAACCAACTACTAAACCAACTAAGTGTGACGAAAAACCTAAGGAACCCAGATGGCTGGGAACCACCCGGCCCACAGCTCCCATCGCACCTCTGGCTCGCAGGCCTCGCGGGAATACGGATACAAACGGCCTAAGGCAGAAACCAGCCAACAGCAAACCACGCGAAATACCTTATATCTTCGAAAGGCCGAGAGCTGGCACCGGTCAGAGCCAATGCTGCCTTATTAACTCGGCCTGCTTTAGAGAAGTCGGGTGCGCAACCAGTCCAGCCACAGGCTGGGACCAAACCTCAAGCAAACAGGTTGCAAAACGTCCAGAGGTCGCGCAAAAGGAAGTTCGTGGTACAAAGATAGAACCAAAGACGTTGTGCCAAAAGGAAGCCCCTTTGGCATGGGTGATTTTGGCCCTTGTTGGCCATTATTGAAACATAACTCAATGCACGCACGCGTAACATTAGAACATCAACCCACACAAACACACACACACACACACAAACAAATTAAGTCTTTCGAGAAGCAAGCAAGCAATCAAGCAAGCAAGCCAGCGATTGAGCGAGCAAGCAAACTCAAACAAACCAAGGCGCACAACACACAACACACAACACACAACATATACCCACCCATCCACCCGCCCGCCCGCCCACCCACCCACCCACTCACAAACCAAGCAACCACTCAATCAATCAGTCAATGAATGAAGCAACCAATCAAATCAATCAATCCAATCTAAGCCACGCACTCACGCACCCACCCACACACACTGCGTGGCTTTATTAAACAAACCAAAAACACAACAACTATCTCCAAATGACGCACCTTTTCTCTGGAGGGCCTGGCGGGCCCACATTCTGGGCCAGCTCTTTGGCCCAGTCGTCTAGACGCAGGAGGTCCGCAGAGCTCAGCGTCAGCTGGACGCGCCCTTTGTTGGTGCTAGAAACCTTTGCACGAATTCCGAAGCTGTGCAACGTGGAGAGGACCTTGGCAATTGGCTCAATCTCAAGCATTCACACTGCATATTGAATTGTGTTGGAATCTTAGCTTTAGAGGGAAACCCAGTAAGGTGAGCCCGGAAGCCCAAAAGCAAACGGAAGTGAAGCTACCGAGCAAAAGACCCATCTCTGCACGAATCTCTTGGTGACAGGTCTGCGTACCGCAATCTGTGACACTCCTCCAAAATCTCTCGCGGCACATCTCTGCGATCCTGTTTTCCGGCGACGTTTCCCTCAAACCCTTCGCTATGCCAAGTGGGCATGGACTTGATGAGGGAACCTCCTTTGGTTTGGCCTCAAACGGGCACCACAAGGACGACTTGCACCGCTGCTTCCAGGCCACCGACGCTTGGACAGACGTACCGCTTTGCCAGTCCTGCAAAGATCTGCCCCAGCCGGTGACGATCTCCGTGGGAACGCCCGTCCTGAGGCCAGCATTGGACCGGGTGGATACTTGCGGAAATGGGAACCCATCTGCGGCTTCCTGAGGTAGATGTAGGGACACTTAGCAAAGACAAGAAAGACAACAGCTGGAACCTTTATTTTGACTTGGCCAGCCAGCACCAGCTCAACATTAACAATGTTCTTGAACCAGCCCTGAAGTTAGCTTCTCTGTGCAACACGCCGTGACTGGCTATCATCGGAAAACGTGGGCTCTTGAGACCCTGATCTATCCAGAGTCAACCAAACATCAAGCCTAGTCTGACCCGAGTTGACTGGTCAAAACGCACGTGGGACTTCTTGGGCCTTTCATCTTGGTTGCAGTTGCCCCTACTGCAAAGTTTGACTTTTTGGACGTTAAGTGGAAAACACCTTTTCCCCAAAGTTAAAGTCTAAAGATCCAACCCAACAGCAGTCAAGCAAGTTGCTTCTCCATTTCCATTCCCCGCCTGACGCCTTCGAGAAGCTTCGCGCGGCTTCGCTCGCACGAGAGCCACCAGGCCACAGCGAAGGCCGCAGCGCCGCCGGAGCAGCCGTGCAGATCCAAGACGTCGCGGGAGAAAAGCAGCGGATAGAGGCTCTGCGAAAGCGCCTGGAGAATCTCCAAGGTCACAAGTCACTCATCCACCCAAACCAGTGAGGCTAGGCATACGTATATGTATATCTATATATATCTATATATGTATATCTTATTGAGGTGCTGGTTGTAGAGTGGTATGTTGGCAAAGTTGGTCTAGATGTGCGCAACTGGAAATCGTGATCATGATTTGGCATCAAATTTCGGGGCTCGGAACTGGCCTATGGGTGTTCAGGCCTCGCAAAAATAAAGCACGAAAGCTGGCGTGGCGTTGGACCCAGTGGTTCTAGAGGGCAAAGGGGAACCCGTAACCAAACCAGGCCAACAGTTGAGGGATACCTGAGAAAGAGGTGAAGCTCTTGGGAGGCATAGACGAAAACGGAAACCCGGTGGGTCAACATCTGAAATTTCGACGCCCAAGGGAACCAAATGGAGCCCGGTCAAGGCAGAATGCCTCCCGTGTTGACAATAAGCGTAAAGCAACAAGAACCTCCCCGAGCCGAGCTCCGGAAGGCGCCTCTTGGAACAAGGCCCTGCCGTAGTCCATGTCCTGAAAACTGTCCAGCGCCACATTGTAGCTGATGGAGTTGGGCCGGAGCTGCGCTTGCCGCATGCTGGCAAGCAGAGCAAGCACCCAGGGCCACTGGGGCGGACCGCAGGCGGCCATGGTGGCATTGTAGCCTCACTTTTAGCCAGAACACCTGACAAACAAAGGTCAAGCATGCACATGGCAACTACAGCGAGAATGAACACGCACGACTTTCGACAACAAATATTCAAAGGTGGAAACTCTCCCCGTCTGTCTCTCTCTCTCTCTCTCTTCCTAATTGGAGCGAGTAGCTGGTCACAACCGGAGCTATGGCTGCTTTTTGCATGGCGCTCAGCATGGCAATGGCTCTCTGCCACTGCCTTCCTTTCTCCAACGAGCTGATGGCGGCGTTGTAGCTCACGACATCCGGAAACCTCGCGACAGGTTTGGGTTTTTGGTTGTCCCTTGAACCGAGTCTGGGACCCAAGGGCTACGATTGTCAAATCCCAGCAATTTGCGGGCCGGCAAACTATTTACCTGCAATGGCATTCCCGAGCATTTGCGCGAGATTTCCAACAACATGTCTGAACTCATGGACATGGCACGTACGACCTGAAAACCACCTCGCCTCCATGTCAAAAAAAATGCCAAGGCACAAAGCCGCCGGGCGCATGGCCTCGAAGATCTCCAGGGATTTCTGCCAGGCCCCCGCCTTTTCACAGGCGCTCATGGTGATGTTGTGGCTGATGAGGTCCGGCGAAACCATCTGATGCCTCATGGAGTGGAAGAGGTCCAAGGCCACCAGCCAGTCCCCGCCCTTCTCACAGTTGCCTGATGGGATGGCTGATCTAGGGTTGGGTTGCAGGAAATTCTGCCGGACAACAGCTCAATTAGGGTGTTTGGGGCAATTTCCTGTAGATTTTCCTGTAAGTTAAGCCTTTGATGACCCGAGAATGTTCCTGGTAAACCACTAAGACCCTTAGGACTTCAGGACAGGCTGCTGATGGCCAAGTTGAAGGCCACGGCGTCGGGGGAAACTTGGGCCTTCGACATTGCCCGGAAGAAGTGGAGGCCCATCGCGCGGTTTCCAACTTCACAAGCTCTCATGGCTGCACTGTAGCTGCTGACATCTGGGATCACCTCTTGAGGCATTTGCTTGAAGAGTGCAAGGGCGAGTTCCCATCGACCGTGCGCTAAAGAGGTCATTGTTGCGTTGAAGCTGATGACATCTCGAACAGCCTGAGGGAACCACTGGCACAGCTTCACGGAATTCTGACAACTCGGCCAAGGAAGGACCCTTCATGCCCCGTTTCGTTTATACTTGAGAATCTTAGGAATGCTCACTAAAAAAAACGTGGGTGACAAGTGGAAGATGCCCTGGTTTTCAGCCTTCGAGGCATCGAAGAGCTGCAAGGCCTGCTGCCACGCTGTGCTTCTCTCACAGGCGCTGATGGCTGCATTGTAGCCTGAAAGCGCCGGGCAGGGGGGGGAATTGTGACGGCGAGGTTTGGCGCTTTGGGCTTTCCGGGATCAAAAGAGCAAAAAATGGCCTTTGCCATCAACTGAACCACTTTGGTAGGTTCCAAGCATCTGCCAGTTAAGCAAAAACCCATGTCACCTTTGAACAAATGGGCGTCCCAACACTAGGGGTTCATGTTCCTCAGGTTCGGCAAACTTTGATGCAGAAGTACCTCCCTCTGCCCACATGCCAGCTGTTTACCTTTCCACTTCTCATTCGCGCGCGTGCGCGCGTCCCGCGGGTTTTGCGCCGGGAAGCTGACGGTGTCCGCCTCGATCCGCGCGCTTTCCATGGAGCTGAAGAGGTGAAGGGCCAGCGCCCAGTGGCAGGAGCTGATCGCCGCACTGTAGCCGAGCACGGTGGCACTGCCTTAGGGTTTAGGGTTTAGGTTTTAGGGTTTAGGTTTTCGGGTTTAGGGGGGTCTGGGAAGCTTGCCCTCAAGCCAAGTCGAGGCTTATGACAAACGAAGACATGCTCCAAAGGCTTGTGGAGGTTTCTGAGCGAATTTCCAAGCTTTTGCCGACATGACAATCCGTCCATGCATAAAAGCAATCAGTTCAGGCTGACTCTCAGATTGGGAAATCGAGGGAGTCTCAGCTGAGTGGAGCATGGGAAAAGCAAGCCAAGCAACCATTGCTGCTCATCTTTGCCAGCAGTGCGCAGGCCAGTTGCCACTGCTTGCCTTTGCTGCAAGAGCTGATCGTCAAATTCCGTGCCACAGCGGCATCCGGAAAAAGGGCCAAGGCTGCCACGGCGTGCTGCCATTGAGAGGCTCTCCTCGGAATGGAACCCTGGAGTCAGAAATTTTTGCAGGGCTCCCAAAGTGGCAGAACTTGTCCGTGCAGACACAACAACGGCTACCAACTACTGCCAATCCCTGCTTGTCTATCACTTTGCTGTGGCTGCGACTCCCAGCATCATTTCAGCTGCACCGCCTCCGTGCCAGAGCAAGGAGTCAAACTACCGCATAGCGCAACCAAGCCCAAGATGACATTGCCAAGTGTCTCAAAGGCAGAGATGACAGCGCTATGGGTGTAGCTTGTGGCCTGA